ATAAATAAGTCCTATTCAACTATTGCACAGTATAATAATTAATAACTAATTAAATAATTAATAATAGTAATATGAATTGAATATAATATGTAATATAATTTCTTATCTAATTGTACAATTGATTAATCACATTAGTTAAATATTTGATTGGCCAATCGGTAATAACATTTCCTTTAAACAAAATCTTCAAAACTTATAACACAATAATTGCCTTGACGGCTTACAAAATAATTTGTCTGGACGACTTAATAAAACACAATATTTGCCTGAGCGGCTCACAAAAATTATTATGTTTTGACGACTAATTAACACACTAATTGCTTTGACGGCTTACACTACTTAAAAACAACGCAAAAAAAAGTTGAATAGAACAAACGAAAAAGTTAAGAATGGAACATCAATGTTTACATATAATAGAACATTTAAGCCCTGTTTTTCGGCAACCACAATTTTTACCAGTTCCAGCACCTGACTAAAGGCCGTTTTATGACAAATATCTTTATCATTACCAGAAATTCCGGTGACAATTGACATAATATAATTGTTGTTTGGAAATGTACAATTTAGCGTTTAGTTGGGTTTAAACAATATAGCGTCAAATCAATTACCTACTCTATCGGTTGTATATTAATATACACTACACTTTAATGATACAATAAATAAATAAACTCACACATACACACATATGTATTTATAGCATTGTGTCTAATGTAAGTATAACATGATAAAAAGTAAGCGTAAAATGCAAAAAATGGAAAATAAATTTTAGTACTCATATTAAATGTAATGTAACTCGAAAAATATTTGTTTAAATGAAAAAATATAAGATAATTTTTTTGTTTAGAATTGTCTTTTAAACAACTTTTGTACGAAACTTTTTTTTGTAAGTTAAATATTTTTTGAGAAAATTAAAAAAGCTCATATTTTTGAACTTTTGCGAGGCTGTAAAAAAAAAGCTCAATTCCAATCTATAAGGACTATTAGTATGTCATTATACATATTTTAATTCAACTTTTAAAAAAACAACATTTGATTGGGAATTTTTTCCGCAATTTTTCCTTTGTTTATTGGCCTAGATGTCAATTTTAAACTTGTAATTGAGCTAAAAGTTATGGTAATATATTCAATTTTTTTTACTATAAACTTTCATAAATCTTTATCAAAAATTTTTCATCAACTTTAAAGAACCAAAAAAATAGGTTAAAATTGAAAATTTGGACTGATTATTTTTAACATATTAAAAATCAAATCAGTAATAATTT